ACAATAATCCGTAAACAAAAAATTTTTATCACTATTTTTTTATTAATTATGCTTTTGTTAATTAGTTAATTTTCACCATTTTAATGTTAATATAAAAACGCTGATTATTTCAAAACAAGAAATCTAGAATTTTTTGAGCTATTGTTAAAAGGATTTAGAAGAGATACCCGTTGGAAAAATTCAAAAATTTTGATTGATTTTGATTTTGATTTTTTTTTTAAATCATTATTTTCATCAAGGATAAAATTCCAAAGAAAAAGTTTTCAAAAATATAATAAACAATGCATTTGTTTATAACAATTATTTAAATAATGTTGATAAAAAATAAAAAAAAAATATTGTTATATGGCTTTTATCAATAAGAAAATAAAATATTTATAATAATTGGAAAAAATGGCTTTATTTACATAAATAATTTTTTAATGCCTTTGATTGTTAATAAAAAAGTGAAAAATCTAAATTTTTGAATTTTTTCAACGGGGATCTCTTCTAAGCCCTTTTAGCAATAGCTCAAAAAAATCAAAAAAAATTCTAGATTTCTTGTTTTGAAATAATCAGCGTTTTTATGTTAACATTAAAATGGTGAAAATTAACTAATTAACAAAAGCATAATTAATAAAAAAAATAGTGATAAAAATTTTTTGTTTACGGATTATTGTTTATTCATATGTCTACTTAGTACCCAAATTTTTTGTTGGTACAGTTCCAGGAGGTAGGACTTTTTTTTCGGAAATTTCCTGCTCTTTACGGATCTTTTTTCAAATTTCGATTATCTCAAATAGTTTTTGAAATATTTCAAAAAAACCAAACCCTTATTTTTTATTTTACTTTGTTTATAACTTTTGCAATTTTTTTTCAGCCCCTCTTGGAATTTTGATAGAATGTTCTAGATGCCATTCCGAATCAAATGAGCCCAAAATCAAAATTTTCGGTGCTGGAGGACAGGTTTTGAGGGAAATTGCACTTGTGAACCAGACTAATATGTTGATATCGCTTTTCGATTTTGATTTCTGTTTTTTTTTTTAAATTTCAGCCCCCTAAAATATTTTTCAAAATCAATAGGCTTCGTCTCCTTATAGAGCTGGATTTTTGCTAATAATTTCAAGTTTATATTATTTTTCGTTTTTGAGTTTTTAAAATTTCAATCCATTTATCCCCTCATTTTTATTCAGATGTTTTTTAGAATTAATAGCTTTCATCCCCTTATAGAACTTGATTTTTACTACAAAATTTATGTTGGTATCGGTTTTCGTTTTTGATTTCTTTTTCGATTTTTTTTCTTTCTTTTTATTTCTTTTCTGATATCTTTTTTTATTTATTTTTTGATTTCATTTTTTTCTATTTCTTTTTTAATTTCTTTTTTTTATTTTCAACTCCTCATTTAACCCCCATTTTTATTCAGATTTTTTTAGAATCAATAGCGTTCAGCTCCTTTAGAGTTTGATTTTTATTAAACATTTTTCGCTTTTCTTTTTTGATTTATGATATTTTTTTAATGTTATCCCTCCTTAATTAACCCTCCATTTGTAATAATTGGCATTATTATTTTTAAAATATAAAGAATTTAACAAAAATCCCAAAAATATCTAATATTGTTAATCTATTAAATTAACACAACATATTTATTAAAACCAAACAATTAGAAATAGTTCATTGTACTAGAAAATTAAAGGACAAATCGTGCGAATAATTATTAAAAATAAATAAGTCGAGTTTCTTTTAATATAATCACGTTAAGGTTGATATAAATAGAGAGTCAATCATTGACAAAAAGACTCAAGGGGCGGCCGTTGGGCCAAACCTATGCCCAAAAATGTAACTTAGTAATTATTAGTATTTATTATATATAGTAAAGTGTGTGTGTAGTGTTTTAGTTTCAAAGGTAATATCTATTTTATTTTAACATGTTTAAATCTCTTGTTTGGGTTATGTATTTTAAAACAGTTCATTAGTCTTTCTTCAAATGCCAATTCTTTCATTTTCGTCCCAAGTTTACTTATTAAATGTTTATCAGTTTTAAGGGTTTTATCATATAAAGAGTTTTTTTTATTATAGTAAAAAGTTTTTGTGATGTAAAATGTTTCATTTTATTAAAGTTTTATCATAGATTATATTCTATTAACATGGTTTATCATAATAAAGATTTTACAATTATGAGTAGTAATTTTTGCTTATCTTATTTCAAAAATAAAGATTGTTTTGATTTATTAAAATTGTTAATAATTTTTTTACTTATATATAAATATACATGTTATTGTTTATTAACCTATTTTATTCTCACCTCTTTCCAAAAGAAATATTCCGAGCATGTTAAGCCTCGGCGTTCCTACCCTTAAGGACTTGAGAGTCTTAAGTCAGTTGCCAAAACCGCTCGACATATGCTATTAAGGGATGTTTTTTTTTTTATTTTTATTATTTTCTTTTATTATTTTATTTTGCCACTGGCGAATGGATGTTCCTTCAGGACTCCAGGACCCTAGGGCTGGTGACAAGCGCTGCCTTTATCCCTTAATAGTATAGTAACAGTAGCTAAAGACCTATCAGTAGTTGCAAATGGTCTTTAGACATAACTGGTTGTTACATTTGGTGACGAGCGTTGATCTTTAGGCTAACTGGTTGTTACACATTTTTATTCATACCCTTCGTCCCCTTATTGAGCTTGATTTTTCCCGAAAATTTCAAATTGAAATCATTTTTAACACGCTTATATTAGCTTCACCAGTATGTATGTATGTATGTATGTATGTATGTTTGTAACTCTCCTTTGGACTAAAATCAAGTGGCTTATTACTGTCAATATATCCTACTAACTCAAGTTCGTTCGTTGGCCGAAAAATAATTTTTTTTTCAGCAATTTTTTTAATAATTAATCGAATTAAAAAGTAAAAAATAAATATAGTTTAAAAAAACTAAAAAACACGATTTTATAATACATCGAACTAAAAAGTAAAAAATAATTTTTCAAATAAGCTTAAAACAATAATAAATGGAAAATACTAGTATTATTGTGAAAAAAGCGTGGGACGATTTGTCGATATTTCTCGTACATCGATTGTTTTAAGCTTATTTGAAAAATTATTTTTCACTTTTTAGTTCGATGTATTATAAAAGCGTATTTTTTAGTTTTTTAAACCATATTTATTATTTTTTGACTTATCGTGCATACAAAAAAGAGACATGAGATGCACGGACATTTTTAAAAGTTGTTTATTATTGGATGGGGAGGATTTTGTTACGAACATTTTAAAACTTGGATCAATATTAAAAATTTTGGTTCCTCGAAAGTAAATCTATATTACTCTTCACAGGGTACTCTGTGAAGAGTATAATAATATTAGTGAAATGGAAATCATAGAGGCTAACAAATTCAAAAATTAAATGACCTGGTTCTGATTATATGGCATCATTCTTTTTTAAGGACTGTATTTACGTTTTAACTCTTCCACTAAAATTAACCTTTGAAGTATCTTTAGAAGCATTAACTTTTCCAGACAAAAAAAAAACAGAATTATTCTGGTTCTTAAATCTAATGATAAGTCGCTTATTCAAATATTGTTCCATATCAATTTTGTTTTTCCCAAAAAAGGTTTTCTACAATCGTGTCTATGCATAACCTTCACAATATGGATTCATGAGCAAAAAATCAACCAAGTTCAATTTGCTTATACTAACCCAGCTAGTAACTGAAGTTGTTCATACTAATGAACAAATGAATGTGTAATATACCGATTTTTTAAACTCCTCGAAATTCTAATTGAATAAAGTTGATAAATTAAATCAGTTTGGTTTCTCTCCTTTTCTACTGAAGTTCTGTCGGTTCTACCTTTAAAATGGGCGCACAAAAATTTCAAAATAAAGTGTTCCTCAATGCTCAAATCTTGGACTATTGCTATTCTTACAATTTATCAATGACCTGGAAGGCCATTTGTGGTTCCATTTATGACCTACCTTTTCGTTACACCCTGTATATCGTTCCTCTTAAACGTTATTTCTTTATTAGTTTCTTTCGTTAATTATAATTTCTTTTTTTATTCCATTTTTTGCTTTCTTTCTTATTTTTTAATTCCATATTTTTGTTGTATTGCTCGTGTGTTTGTTCCCTGTGATTTTGTTTTATAGATACTTTTTGTTACACATTGCCATCTATATTTATTTATTGTCTCTAGAGATTTTGAGTATAATTTTCCGTAAATGTTCTTTCATTAATTAGGTACCTCTCCATAATATGCTACTATGTAGAGACTGTCATTATTGACCTTGTTCCATTGTAGAGCTGATAGTATCGCAACCAAACCTCGCATTCTACACTTATATTCACTGCTAGTTTTAGAAGCATGTTATGGATCCATTTATCATTGGAACATTCCTGTTAATTAGTGAGTGTTGTAGTAATCACTTTACCTTTCACATAGTCTCATCAATGTCTTAAAAAAGCTATGTCAGGCTAATTGACCAATATGTTTTTGGGACAGTGCAATACAGCCTTCCAAGGTTATGTACGAATTTTTGCATCTATTATTTTTTTGGCAATATACCGTAGAGACAAAGAATATCTGAATATACTCACCAGGTGCAATGTGAGTTCTTCCAGGCCTCAATGAAGTATGGCTGGATTTAAAAGGGGAGAAACTAGAGACTGCTGACCTTATTTTGCCTTCGTCTACAATGTGTTTGGCAGTTTGCATTACAAATAATGCCCAGTGAAGTCAAATTTATGCTTTCAGTATGAAAGACGTATTTGTAAGATTAGTCGAATTAAAGGTTAAATTAAGATAGTTATCCAATAAGGACAAATTAAACATTTGTGTTGATCCTTCATGGCTTCTACTTTGGACTTTTAGACTTTCTTTCATTATATCACCTGCAACCAGATTCTTTATTGTTGTAACCACAATAGTTTAAATTAAAGTAAAGTGAGAGTACTTTTTATAACTTGTTTTTCATCATCTTTATAATAGTGTCGGTTTCTTAAATAAACAAATACTTATTTTCAGATAAAAATGATCTATTTGGGAATAGCGCTTTTTTTGACATCTACAATTGCTAGTCCCGTCTACAATGCCTATAATAATGCTGTTTCCTCTGATGACTATATGGGATATAGGTTACCTGGCACGCAAATTCCTTCAAATTACAAACTGAATATTATAGTCGGAAAAGATGTAATTGAAAACAAGAAAAATACTTTCGATGGTATGGTAGAAATTACTTTTAAAGTCAAAAAAGTAGGGGACGAAAAATTGGATTATATAAAATTACATACACCCTCTGAAAAAACAAGTAAAGTTAAACTCAAAAACGATAAGGCCGAAGTCAAAATTATAGCGCATGAATTCAACGAAACTTCTTCTATTATGACGATTAATTTAGATTCTGAATTAGATCCTAAAATGACATACGTCTTATCTATGTCCTACACTGGAAACGTAGATTCCAAAAGTATGTACGGTCTCTATAGAAGTAGTTTTAAGAATGACAAAAACGAGACCGACTATCTACTTACTACCCAGTTCGAGCCTGTTTACGCTAGATGGGCTTTTCCATGTTTTGATGAGCCCAAATTTAAGGCTACTTTTGATATAAGTATCACCCATCCTAAAGGATATTCAGTTTTGAGTAATACTTTACCAGTGGGCGATCCTAAAAAAATTGGGTGAGTACATTTATAATAATTTATTAATTTTTACATTATTTTCGGCGAACAAAGAGAAGGAGATATCCATAATCATTATATGTGATGTATTTGTTAACATCATTTAACGAATATGTTCTTTTACTTGATGTCCCAAAATTTCGTGTAAGCAACTATATTATGTTGGTGAGATCAAAATAAGTCGATTAAATCAAAATTATCTATACCACAAAGTGCTTCGTTTGCCTATGAGGAAGCTTCAAAGTTGAGAACCGCCTCTGTTCCCTCAATTTTTTTTATGGAGTGCTATATTTATTTGTAGAATTTTTTGTCTCTTGCAAAAAATATATCTCTCATGGTATTTGGGTAGAAAAAATTTTATAGGCTGATGGTTAGTGACTTAAAATTTTCAAGAAAACTAAGTTGGTGGTTATAACTACCACAACCCAAACACTGTCGATTTTAACGTTATTACAATACAAAAAAAATCATGAATAGGCATAAGGAATCCGGGACAGATGCGCCTCCGTACATTTGTGCCCTCTATGCATTTGAGATCCTCTTATGATTTTTCAAATAATGGTAAAATTTAAGTGAGACAATTGCGACCCAACCTCTGTTTTTGGGGTACCTGCTAATGCCTACTAATAATGCATAACCGAAACAGACGTCAAATAATAAAAAAACGGTAATAGTATTTTACTAGTCCGGTAGGTGACTTATCTCAGTATGAGTTGTATATAAACGAGTACTGTAATAAGACTTAACGGAAGTATGTCGTATGATATTTTATTTTATCCTGTCTTTATAATACTTTTTAAAAAGAATAAATAGATATGTTAATTAAAATTAAAAATTGATCCATTGTTTCCAAAGTTAAGTATGATTGCTATTTACTGTCAAGTATTTAAGATCAAAATATTTGTGTTTGAAATAAAGTAAAAAGTAACAAATATGTAATCAGATATAAATTTGGTTTTACAGGGTGTTATTTTTGAAAAAAAGAAATGATAACATTTCATTACGCCGGACCTGGATTTAAACTATTATTTCTATTTCATTATTTTTGGAATATTCTACATGCCCAATTGGAAATTTTTATACCGAATGATGGTTGTTGAGTTTTGGCCAAATAAAAATCCAGACGAAATTCATAAATTCATTCTGGGTAATGAGAGATGATAGACCCATAAATAATGAGTGATTTCAAACCATCCAAGTATCTTACACTTACAGCTAACGTATGTACTTTTAACTCTGTATCTATCTGGTAAACCAAAAAATCTACTTTCATTATTAGACGTCTGTTTGGGATTAATAGGGGTAGGGTTGCAACGGTCTCACTTAAATTTTATCATTATTGGAAAAATCAAGAGGTCTCAAATGTATCGAGGACTCAAATGTGCGGGGACGCATCTGTAACGACACCGGCATAGGTATCTACTGAAAAATAACAATTCAAAGAGAAGGATAATTTTTTTTACAATAAATGTTCAATATGGCCACCTCCTTCATTTATGCAGATTTCAATTAGTCGTAAGAAATTGAAGCGAACCCTTTTCAAAATGCCTAGATCATTTGTCATTACAGAAATCAAGAACTAGCAACATATCAGTTTGTTCATTAAATGTGTAGGTACTCCATACCAGCCACAAAATGTTTAAAATAACTCCTTCACAAGAACTTTGAAGCGAAACAAAACAATACAATACATAAAATGAGTAGTATCGACAATTTTTACAGTTCTATACCTTATATGTCAAAATTATTAAATTGTTTATTAGTAACGTTGACAATCGCCAATTTAGTTTTCTTGAAAATTTGAAGTCTTTTAACATCTGTTTGAATTGTTATTTTTTCAGTCGTTACCTATGCCTGTTGATGATTTTTTTATTGTAATAACGTTAAAAGCGACGGTGTTTAGGTTGCGTTAAGGTACGTTTACATTTGACATTTATTGCGTGAGAGTTGTTTAGTCAAGTGTAAACACACAAAAAATTTTCTCGGAGATATATGTTTGAGTGTTTACACTGGACATAAATCTAATGTAATAAATGTCAGATGTAAACGTACCATTAGTTATAACCATCAACATAGTTTTCTTGAAAATTTTAAGTTACTCACCATCAGTCCATAAAAAAATTTTTACTCAAAAACCTTGAGAGATACATGTTTTTTGAAAGAAAAAAAAATGCTACAAATGAATAATGCTCTCCATAAAAATTGAGAGAACAGAGGTGGCCCTAAAGAAAAATACGATGTCATTAATGGTAGGATTAGTGTGGTTTTTACCCTACAAAATTTTATAAAAATCAAACGAAGCGTTTATGAGTTCTTAAAAAAATTTAAATTTTCTTCCTCACAGGCAAATGATGCACTTTTGGCTTAATCGACTTATTTTGATCTCACCAACATTCAGTAGCTCTATGTAAACGGAGTTTTGGAACACCTTGTATATGGTTCAATTATTAAATAAACGTTTATTAAATATGTTTATAAATTGCCAAAAGGCCACACACTTTTCATATGTAAACGAGAGTATCGTCAAAATGTCTGAATTTTTAATATGTTAATATATCCCTATCAAAAGTATCCATAACTAGATTTTGAGATACAGGGTGTTAAAAATCCCTAATTTTTTAAAATGGATACAAAAAATCACCCTTAAATATTTTTGGAAGTTATTTGCCTAGTGCTGTATAGTGAAAAAACATACTTAACTACTATAATAAAATTATATCACTTATAGGGCGATTCATGATTCCGCAGGTCTTTTTCTTTTAAAGTATTTCCACTCTTCGAAACTCTTACAGGTAAAATTGGATCATATGACTAGTTTTCCAAATATAACTTAATATGTACCTAATATATGAATTTTAAACAATAAATATATAATTATAATAATATCTTTATTAGTACCAGCCAATGCTGCCATTATAGATGGATGTACACGTCAACATAAGATAAAAAATATTTTAAATAAAATTTATATTACACTGAATACACATACGTTAAAACTAATAATTAAATATAAATCAAACTATTATTTAAAGATTATCTTCAGACAAAATAAAAGGAACTACGAGTAATAATAGTTTTTTTTATTGGTACCCTATTTTACTTATTTAAAGTACGCCTCAGCGTGTTTAAAACGAACTTTAAAAACGCGCGTTTTAAAGTTACCATGGTTACATCAACAACCCGAGAAACGTGATGTCTAAATGTCAACCTTGTATATATTAATCTGACAGGAGTGCCTTGTAATATCAATTAAAATATTTCTGAGAAATTTTTCAAAAAATTTATTCAAATATTTTTTCACATTGTTAATTGTTTAAATGAATGTGGAAAGTACAGTTAGTATTGTTTGAAATATTAAAACTTCGGTTTTTTAAATCAGAGAAAATACAGTTCAAATTAAGATTGCTAACATTCTTGGAAGTCAATGAAGTTGTACTTCCATTATTAGCACTTCCAATAATATTTGAAATATTCTTCTTATTGCTAATGCTCTCTTCAACGTAACCAGTCGCCACAGCTGCCGATTTCCATCCTACTTGTCGTTGGATTTGGTCTATTGTGCCATTATTCGCCATAATGGTAGCGGACGTACGTCGAAATGCATGTCCAGTATATTTCTCAGGATCGTCCAATTTAAGATAACGTGCAATTTGCTGGGGACATGATCCAAATGTATTAATACCAACCACTTGATTGGTGCACTTCCCCTTATCATACCGAATGAAATACTGCTTCACCAAACGCACATATCTAATTGCATCACTATCGGCAACAGTAAAACATCGAGACTTCACTGTCTTAGATGATCGGATAGTAATAAGCAATACGCTTCCTTCTTCCTTAATATCAACTAAGCTTAAATCGCACAATTCACATCTTCTACAAGAGCCAAAGATGCTACAAATAGCAACCACCTTCAAAAATAAATACGTAATGTCCGGTGCATCTGTAAAAGCTTCCGCAAATCGTCTTCCTCGAATACATATGCCTTCTTGACTACCTCATTTTGGCTAATTGCCTTCATGATTGACGAACCATTTTATATCGACCCCTTTGTTTATCCTCAACATACTTTCTAATTTTGAATGGATAGTCCACATAGTCGATACTTTATACTGTTCCGACATTTTCTGGATATAAGTGAGAACAACTCGTTCATCTATATGTGTAACCATTTGCTCTTCCATCCACGTGTTGAATTTATCGTATTCTTTTTTATAAACCGCTTCGGATTTTTGTGGTTTTAAGCGCGATTCTGCTTTATTATTTAAATACTCAATATTTCAACTCATTTTAAACAATAACAACTATTGCGACAAATCTTACGTAACAGATTGAAAATAAATTTTTGTTTATCTCATTTTCATGACAACGCGGTATACTGATGTTACATCACAAATTCAACCATTTTCAGTTATTAGTTCTTATTTCCATTTTTTTTGTAGAAATAATACCAATATTTAGGATTTCAAATTATACCAATAAAAAAAATAGCGTAAAGTATTCGTGGATAACTGGTCTTTAAAACACTTGCTCTATTTTGAGTCGGTGGTGTAGCGGTCTAACGCGCTTATATTCATTTATAAGCAAGTTTATGTGTCAGAGACTGCTGGGCTTCGAATCCCAGACCAGACCATGTGGATTTTTAATTAAATTGCATGGTTCGGTATAGGATTTGATGTGTGCCGTATTAATAGAAATTCAATTTCTGTTGATATGACATGCATATTATAAAAAATCGCCATACATTACCGTCTCGATGATGGTGGGTGAGGTTTTCCGGGTTTTCCTCACCTGTAAGTCAAATGGCACCATCAATCATCTTTAAGTCGCCCCGGAGCGCCACGGCAAATAATAATAATAGCCGTCCCTTTCCCTGCACAAGCTCAGCTTTTGGGGTTAAAATTCACTCGTAAGAGGGTGAATTAGGGAGAGTATTATTATTATTACTCCGGCTGCGCCGTCGTGCTCGAAAAATCGGGCTTGTTTTAAAGACCGTT